CAGGAGCAACTTTCTTTCCTGGTACTCAATTACGATCGATACTCTACCTTGTAATGAATTTGGTATGGCGGGATGAGATGGGGTGTCCATGTACACTCTTGAGTCGATGGTTCCGACTGCTGTCCCTTGAATCTAGTCCAAGTAGACGGCAACTACAAACTGCTGTAGTAGGCGAATATCCAGTCAATAACTTTTGGGATTAGTGGCCCATAACATCCTCTAAGAAGAGACACAGAGGAGTTTTGGAACGGTGACAATATTTGGTTCCAGAGTACCCATCTCATGGGCCAACATGCCAGTTCATGTTGGGTTTCGCAACATGACAGTTCCAGAGTACCCATCTCCTTACCTCAACGCTGTGGATTTGCTAAGCAGTTCTCTTCAGATCAGCATGTTGGAGGAACCGACCTCATGAAACACAGGCACTGATTCAATTTCTTTCGACCCAATTGCACTGAGTGAGCCTGGCTATTGGCTAGAGTCCAGTGAAGGTGATCTCATGTGACCTGTCAGAGGTGAGTTCACGTCCTCAGTTGAGATTGAAGTCATTGGACCCATTCCAGTTGCAAAAGGCCGTGGATGGGAGGGGGCAGTGCTATTGTAGGACTCCAGCGGCAGTCTTCTTCTTCGAGCGACTGCTTGCTGCTATTTCCATCTGTTTAGACGGCGTAATTTGATTTGGTGTCACATTACCAGCTCTGATTAATTTCAGGCAGCAAAGTTTGGCGAGAATATTCAATTTTCGACGTAACATTTCGTACGCATTTCGTCCGCACAAGAAGACAGTGTGAACATGAATGGCTGATCTCACGACTCCATTCTCTCTGCGTCACTGGGATGAACCATCTCTCATTGACTGCCAGGGAGCAATTCTCCATTCCCCAACACTCACCCAAGGGATTTAAAGGCAGTGGAAAAAGATTAGGATACCTGAATGTGGAGCAGAGCCTAGACTCTGAATCTAGAACCAATAACAGCATAAAGCCAGTGAAGCTGAGGTCTGCGAGGGTGTTTGATAATTCCCAGCTCAAGTCACTCATGCACCCTGTAACAGAAAATAAGAGTAGCCTGGTTGGGGAGAGTGTGGAAGACCACAAGGCGACAGTTCTCGGTTTCCCAGACGTATGCAAAACCATCACTTGATTTCCACAATCGATCGATGAAGTCCCGCTGTGGAAAATGCAGTCGTGTGAGTCTGTTCAAAGTACACGGATTCGACAGAGAAGGGGAGAATGTAGCTCAGGCCTGGTGAGGCAGAGGAGATCCTCCCCAGTGACACTTGGCCTTTCTTGACCTGTCGTCCTGGCAAGCGAAAGCGAGCACTGACCAACTTTTCTACCGGTTCTGCTTCTTTACTCACGTTCTCCACATTCGGAGAGTTTAATTGGAAGGAATCTCGAGGTCGTTCGCACTCACGCTTTCTTTGTCAGCAATTGAGGGATCAGGATCAGCTATCCTACTCAGAAGTGATTCAGATCGACCAGGCAGACAGACACGGCGCTCGTCGTCCTTGCGGTCGTCCTTCCACCGTAATCCTCGGCCATGACTCATCTCTCACATGCAAACATAACAGAACTTCCCCTTTCCAGAAACCGACTAGATTGAGCTTATCATCCCTCTACATGCACAAGGAGCTTCTTTTTCCCACTGCCTTCGCTCCCTGACACCACACGAACAATAATGATGTGGATGTGTGAGCGAATGGTTGGTTGAGTATACAGAAAATTCCTCAATAAATCTTCAGACTCCGCACAAAGAGCATGAGGGACGGAGAGTCCCATGTCCCATGTCCCAGGAGCTCGACCTCGTACGAAGGCTAGCCACAATGGACAATTGAGGAGGACCATCGAGTGCAATGAAGGGACGTTAGAGAAAAGTTGACCCAACGGAGTGTGAGCATGATGAGCTCGGTTGTTTCACATGGACCTCGGCCCTCGGACAAGGGCCTTGCAACGAATACTGGAAAGAAAGGCTTGGAGACATTGTTGGTCGTAAGATGTGGACAAGAGAGATGAGCACTAGAGGCTGAATGCAGGCCAAGAGTTGTCATGGGAACATTACTGGCTCTTAACACTAGGCAAGAAGTCAACCAACGCGACCATGCACGAGGTCTCGAGGGGAAACGGGCAGAACAACAGTCGCTCCTTTCATCACAGCCCCCACCGCTCAATAATTGCCCAGATGCCCCCATACGCACGCACTTGGACCCAGATCCACTCCATGAGTTTGTCCATAGAAGAGGTGGGGCAAAGTCGGCGACCAAAGCGAACCCACGTGTAGTAACCCATGCAGAAGCTCGAGAGGCCAGTCAGGATAGATGCTCGATCACTCACTTGCATCAACCTCACTGACTCATGGTCCATTGGGGGCTCCTGACGTGCAACGATGCAAGTGGAACTGGAACATTACCTCGTGGGGCATTGGGACAAAGCGCCCATCAAAAGCAACCACCGTAGACTAATATTAATAATTATTGCCGATCTGACCAGACTTACTCACCAGAATCAAGGACCTCGGAACCAGAAGACGTACATTACCAGACTTCAAAACCAAAGCCCCAAACCAAAATTCCCCATGTAACTGGAGTTTGATCAAGGCAAGCGAAGTCTTGCAAGGAAGTGCATCATGGATTCTATCATGGAGTATTCAGTTTAAGCAGTTCCACAATCCTCGAAGACCACCAAGTTGACTTACGTCCCGTCCAGTATCAGAGGCTGGTCTTTTGCAACTCAAGTCCAACACGAAGGCAGTGCAGTGACTTTTGCTGATCATGGGCGGGGCTCACAAACTCAGCCTTTATGACGACCTGGAGTGAGAGGGGATTTTGACCAGTGACAAAGTCTCACGCTGAGGCCAAGACAAAGAAGATGGGTTTGGCTCGAGACTGACAGTAGCTTGGTCTACGGCTCTTCTCTCACCCATGGAAGTTCGAGGTCTATGAACTTTAGTGGCACAGTTCTGCAATATGAGCCCGACGATGGATGATATAATTGGAGTAGAGAGTGAAAGCTCTAGGTCTCTGACTTTGAAATTAGGACTCATCCTGACTAGATTTTTTTTCCTTTTGGATTTGAGAACTCTGCTGATGGAATGCTTGCCCATTGTGGTTCCGCCTGATTATGTCATCACGCCGTCTGCTTGGGACCATACAGGAATCATTTTCGGTTTGGATCAAGGCGAACTCGATGCATGAAGTCAGGAGGCACACTCGGATGCAATGCAAGTTTCAACTTTAGGACCACCTGTTGAATAGGCCCCCCCTAGTAAGCTTGACTTCAAGCTATTAACGAAACCTATTAAAAAGTACTCAATTTAGCTTCTCGTAGGGCTTCTACTCTCAAAGTAAGATGTATTTCATGTTATTTTGAGGATCAAAGCACAGGCTTGGGTTTCACCTCAGCTTCGGGTTGAAGTTACAATCGGCACCTTGACTTGTAAGTCAAGATTATACAATCAAGTTTAGAGATTGGCAAAATTTTGTATGTAGTCTTGAATTGCATCTTGGTTTTGAATACAAAGCAGTAAACCATGTGAGTAGATTCCCAACTGGAAGCTAATATGTCCTCCCACATAGACTTCACTTGTGGGTTCAAGGTTCTTGTCGTCTTCGTTCCATTCAACACTTCTCCCCGTGATTAAGACTGCACAACTCCACCCTTTTCAAAGCATGATACTATGGGATTATAGGCCAACTAAAACCTGCAGTGAATCTTAGTAAATGTGCTTCACTTGTGGGGTTCAGCTATTTGTCCTCGTGGATCTGTCTAACGCTCCTCCTCTATGAGAAAGACTGTACTGATCCAAGATTTGGAATCGTTCGATCATGTCCATGCCAGCAATTAACACATCTTTAGTGAGTGCTTGAGTGATCATACCTGGATCCATTTGTTCACTTTGACACTACTTCAGTTGCACTTGTACTCATCACACCTTGAAGTAGCGGTGAATGTCACAATTCTTGTAACGTTCATTGATTCTTACCAATCTCTTACCATTATTGTCATAGATAGAATGTGGTTGCTCTACCTGATAATCATTTAGTGCCTTAAGAAGTTGAAGAGCTTCCTTTGCATCACTAGAAAGTGCTGCTCACTATATTTTCTTCCAAATATAACTTTTGCCCTTGATTATCAAGATCAGGCGGATCTAATTTGCGATCTACATACTTGTTGTGCTTGGAACTTAACAGGTATAACACGAAGCTTGTCTATGCCAATCTAGTGAGTGATAAAGAAACCGTCCGAATGTTTATGGTCAAGACAATATGTGGGACGTATGAAATTTTAAGGTTTAGGGAAAATCGTAATTCAGCCTTGCTAGTCAAGAATCGAAAAGCTGGAAAACTCTTGGTTCCAAAAAATTCAACACTGTCTCTGAGGCATTAGATATTTGACATTGTGAGACCATGCTGCAAGCATCGATGGTGAACGGAGCATTCTTAGTTTGAATCTTTAAAACCCAGAAAGAGCTTTGTTCCAGAATGAAGAATGCTGGAAAATTCTTGGTTCCAAAATTCAACACTGTCTCTGAGGCATTAGATATTTGACATTGTGAGACCATGCTGCAAGCATCGATGGTGAACGGAGCATTCTTAGTTTGAATCTTTAAAACCCAGAAAGAGCTTTGTTCCAGAATGAAGAATGCTGGAAAATTCTTGGTTCCAAAATTCAACACTGTCTCTGAGGCATTAGATATTTGACATCGTGAGACCATGCTGCAAGCATCGATGGTGAACGGAGCATTCTTAGTTTGAATCTTTAAAACCCAGAAAGAGCTTTGTTCCAGAATGAAGAATGCTGGAAAATTCTTGGTTCCAAAATTCAGCACTGTCTCTGAAGCATTAGATATTTGACATCGTGAGACCATGCTGCAAGCATCGATGGTGAACGGAGCATTCTTAGTTTGAATCTTTAAAACCCAGAAAGAGCTTTGTTCCAGAATGAAGAATGGTGTGTTTCAGAATCATGAGCTCTTCTCTCGTGACTCATGCATGTTCTCTCTTAGTGCCGGGACTTGTGGAGGTGGGCGGTGTAGATGGTGTTCCCCAGACCATCATGAAAGGATAAAAGAAGCTCGTGCGGCCCCATGGATATCGCGGCGAACCCCTGTCCATCATACGCAAACAACACACCTTCTGTGTTCTCACTGGAACGAACCCCGTCCCATGCTTTGGATCCACCCCCGCTCGTTACAAAATGCACACCGGAATCCTGATCCTTGATGTGCTGAAGGGTGTGATCGTGACCATTCACGTACAAATCCACTCGATGTTTCTGGGGCCACAACATGGCATTAACCATCAATGAATCACGACTTTAATTCAATGTTCGTGCCAAGTTCAAACTCAATCTGCTCCTAGCTGCCTCTGATTATCAGTTTGCAAACGTTGACACGAGGACGGAGATAGCGGTCCATTCTTGTGTAATATTTTCTCTCAGGCGTGCTCTTCTTCGTTGTGTTTTACAGATTGGGAAACATTCCAGATTTTTTCTCCGTGTTTTCGTTGAAGCTCTGGATTTTGCAAGACAAGAACATTAAAGCAGGACAAAACTTGTGGAGAAAGGTCATGATTCGGGAAACAGGGAGTACTTAGGACCATTCGCACGATTTTTTTTCTCCAACAACCTACAGCGCCTACCACAACCTTTCAGGTACCACGTGAAACCAGCAAACTTAAGAACCGAAAAGTTTGAGGATGTCTACCGGGAAAACTTGAATAAATTATTTTTCGGGGAGAATCAAGTGCGACATCAAATGCGAATTCATTAAGAAAGATCATGTCAAGCTCTAAAAGTACCTTCTCTTGAGGAGAAATTGATTCGTTTATTTCTGTTTGTGTCAGTTCTTTCCAACATTGAGTAATTTGGGTATGACAATTTAGTCCTGTAAAATGAAATCATGTACCTTCAAAATAGGAAGCAAGTTTTTGACAAGCTCGGGAGTGTCTCCATGATAGCCCATGCTCCGGATCGTGTGATGACCGACCACAACTTTCCAGTTAGCTGTAGAAGTCTCGAGTTTGTCATTCAGGCTCTGTAATGGACCGCCCAGGGTGTCAGATATGAAACATCTTCACACTAGCTCACCATGATTCCCTAAAGCTCAGATGTTCAGCAGATCATGGCGCAAACCTGGAGCTGATTGCGGAGCTGTTCTTCACGAGAAGCCAGACCTCGCCAATCAAATGTATGAGTCTGACTTGCAGCCCAATAGTCGTCCACAAATGGAGTTGTGTCGATGAAAAAAAAATCAACATGCATTTTGCAACCTTCTGTTACAGATTTCACAGAGTCAAGTATGACTCTGCAAGCATGACAGTGTTTGTTTTATACAAGAAAGGGCATACAAATTGGGCTCGCATCACTTGGTTGACATTCACTCACTTCTTCATCACAACCTGTAAACATACTAATGCACCCTTACTCTTGTCTGCTCTGACCCACTTCAAGCCATAGCTCTTGCTTGAAGTGGGTCAGAGCAGACGAGAGTAGGATGCACAGGATGCAGTAGATGGAGTGTCTCAATAGGTCAATTAGTTTATGACATGTTTGAGTATATCATGATGGTGATCCATCAACAGCAGAGATAAGTGACCATTTCAGAAAGGTAGACCATACAGGCGCCACATATTCTACCCGTATCTGAAACAAGGGTCGAGCGAGAAAACCAATCTGAATTTGTTGGTCAGATTCATCACGTGGAAGACGATGTACCTTTCATAGAATCTGTACACAGTGAATACTGCAAGTGATACTCTCGCTGGCATATCCATCTATCATCACGAAGCTGAATATAGGGGTCCATCTGAGACAGCACATCTCCCATGTAGTCATGGTTACCTAGCACTTAAGATGCAGATAAGCCCAGAAGATGTATCAGATATGGCTTCCTACGATTAAAAGCCAAATACATTCATATTTATCAAAGGCTGCCGATAGATTCGTGATTTGAACCTCCACGGTTTGATTACCTATTGCGCAGCTTGCGGACATAAGGTGTGCCATAGATAATCAGCCTGCAAGCCATACATGCTTTGCCCTCCTTGACAGTTAGAAGAAAAGAAATTACGTGGCTGTTAACGAAAACCCTTGAGAGCAGTCATGCATGAATCATCTTAAACCGGTCTAGGCGTTTCCTTGGGCAATCAAGAGAATTGTGTAATGTGCTCCGAAGTCCAAAAACCCACAATGGTCATGGATTAGGGGACTGAGAGGGGCACGAGGAGAGAACAATTGCAGAGGACGGAAATGGCTGAAGCAAAACCTGCATACCACCGAGTCTGCAGACTTGGAGAAGTGTAAATGTTGGTGAACGATGTGGTGAACTGAATATCGTCCACCCCAGCAAGGCCAGTATTGTAGAAGTTATCCCCAGTGCTGATAACGAACGAGATCCCCAACATGGTACCCACTTGTCCCATCTGCATCACACAACATGCGAACATGTGACGCGTCGTTCAGTTGAATCGAATAAGTGCAAATAAGATCAAGGCTCTTCAGATGCTGAGAGAACAGGGTTCGCTCCATTGTACCTGAGAAGCCACCACAGATTGATTGTAGAAACCATTCCGACCCCAATCTCCAACCACCAGAAAGTGCAGGGGAAAATGAAACTGTCTCTGCTGCAGCCTCTGAAGACTGAGCAACCATGCAATCGCAAATCCCAAACCAAACCCAACGACCAACGGGTTCACCATTTCCCTAACTTTACCGACATCCTTCCACTCGCTTCTGTCTGGGCCTGATGTCTGCAGATCTCAAGCACACATTCTCCACACTCATTCGAAGGTTTTCTTCGACGGTCCTTACAAGAACATATTGAATTGAATTGACAACCATTCAACCCAACAAGGGGATGAGTGTAAAAAAGCTCAAATGCATGAGATATCGTATGCTGAAACTTCAATGAACATTGTGAGGGCTTCCGTGCGCACTGCAGTCCGATCCAAATTGAACCAGAAAATTGTACTTTGGGTCCACAGGGCTCACACAGGGTACGAGACAGACATGAAATGCACATAGAAAGAGAAACGAAGGGAGATTGCCAAATACTCTTTCGGAAGTTCCAGCGGACCGAAAGGTCACTTTCAGATTAGCCGTGAGTAAACCATCTTTCAGACCATCCTCGATTGGAGTTGGAGAGAAAACGTCGTGGGAACAGTTCATACCGGGCGTCTCTGTCGTGCGATGCTGGTGCTCGAAGATGCATGATTCTGTGATGTGGATTTGGAAGGTCAGAAAACGAAGAGACTAGATAGAATCGACAGGACAGGAGATTACTCGAATGAACAACAATCGCACTGTTGGTACTCCAGCAGGTGCCTAAGGTCCAAACTACCTGGATTTTCTCGTAATTCCAACTCTGCTCCATCTCCACATATCAGATTTGTCCTGGAACAGCATCACGAGGACTTCTTCGTCATCGCCGTCCTCTCTCGAAAAACCTGAGTGCTATTTCCTCCGAGTATCCATTCAGACTGCAAACTCCCTGCGGAGTTTCATTAAAATCTATCGCCTTGGGAGATCTATGGGCTCTCACTTTGATCTCCACCTTTCGCGAAGATCGTGCATCCCGGAGCTCAGTCGCTGTTTGCTTCGGGGGAATCAGGGGCAAGAATTTTAGTGGCGGGTCTCGTGCTTCAGGGAATCGAGTGAGTTTGCTCAGAGCGGGCAGAATCGCGACGTGGATAGACAGGAGTTGAATGGCTTACATGCACAGAACCCCGGAGGCAGCGACATTGGCAAAACGAGTGGAGGTGTTTATTTAGTATCTGATTGCACAGATTCCGATCGTTTATATCCATGACGCCAAATTGGAACATAGTCCTCCAAATGCAGCTCTAGAAACCTCAAGCAGTGGTCATGGAGCACCAGGTCCTCCACCATTGCACACCAGTCCCACAAAGACACCAAAGATTTCTTGAAGCCACAAGCCGCTTTCGCTCGTTCACAATGGAGGCTTCTGCCCATCTCAGATTTTGAGTACAATATCAGACCATGTGATACAGATCTCTGTGAGTGACAATTTATCAAGTTTAACTGTGAAAGTGTGAACGATCTTTGATCTCTTCTTCTTGAGAACATTTTAACGACTTCTGCCGAGAAGACCAATGGTAGCTTTCCATGCGACCCGAGCTCCAGCTATTGACAGTTCTGAGCCTTCAGTGAACGGATCAATGAGGTTAACTACCCAACAGCATAGAAATTGTATAATTCAGAGAGATGACTGGACTGGACCAGCTCGGCTGGATTCAGTTGAGGCACTGCTTTCAGGTCTACTGCTCGTGAGCTTTGGAAAGAGTAAATGAATGACAATGGTTTCGTCGAGGCAATTTCACCAAATTACTGCTCAATATTTTCTAACAGCTGCAGTATGGCACACTGTAGATTCCAAGGAGCTAATATGTGCACAATGGAACACGGGTGTACTGACTCTGCAAGGATCTGCTTCTTCGAAGATATCCTCCAGGCTTTGGCTTGAACCAACCTCAGTAAGTCAGAGTTATCGAGGAACGGCATTCGTGTACTCTGTTCGGACAAACAACATGTGAGAAAATGGAGTAGATTGCTCTGCAAAGAAGTATTTGTGGGTCCGGGGTGGCTCTTTTAGGAAATAAGCAGTGGTTGCTCACTCTGTAGCACAATGCCCTCGTCCGTCTCAGAATCTTTGGGTTCAGCTCTGACTACAATTTCATTTAGAATCCACTGGCTTTACGATCTGTGGCACTAACTTCAAGCTAAGGTATTTAGTTATTCATAGAAACGATCGAATCTGCAGATGTTCAAACAACTTCTGGTCCGGAGGCACTTTTCTCGAGTAGGGAATGATAGATCGTGTTTCGTTGTTGACCTCATGCTTGCATGCACGGCCTGCAGTTAGTCAGTTTGACCAGATAGGTCCATGAGATTTTCTGATCAAGGTAGCGTACTAAGATAAATGATCACTTGTAGACAGTGACTTCAGTTAGAGCTGTATGAATAATGATACAGCACAAAGCAAGGCAGGCATGCCTTGCAGCAATTTCCATTTTCGTTCAGTCAACTATCCAGGAATGGATTGGCACTCACGTACTCCGACGATTGGTACACTAGCTCTTCCGTGTTTAGGATTTCCTAAATGCTGTTCGGGTCTTACAGGATATCTGCCACGACAGTCAGACCAGCACTTTCTTCCTCCCTACACTTTCAAATACAACTGTGTACTCCAAAGGAATTATTGGTCCAAGAGAGCAGATCGATTAATAAGTTTCAAAACGTGCGACTCGAGGATCGTCATCGTTGTCACGAAGCAGAACCACAGAGCTACCGTTTTCACCATTTTCTCTTCAGAAGATATGGGAGACAAGCTCCGTGACTACACAGGTTTCCCATCTTTGTGCCTCATGAAGACAGGATGTGACGATTCTTGACAATCAAACGTCGATTGTCCAGCATTGGACGTGAAAGTACTGACCATATTCTTACCTTCTTACACACTTTTTATACACATAAATTCTCTCGTTCTTGTCGGACATGAAATGTGGTGATTCTTCTGAATTAGACCCAACTTGAGCACAAAGGCATAAAAATACAACGTTCGTTGGTTTTCAGAATAATCCATGACAAGTTGGAAATTAAAGTAAATTCAGCATTACCACAAGGTTTCAATAAGCAGGCTGAATGAAGTTCATGGCCAGCCCGCAGGAAGCATATGAAGTTAATGAAAAGTACTGATCTCAGCAAGGACCACGGATGTCAAGATGAGAAGAAACTCAGGGTCGCTTCACAATGTATCCAGTATCCAGATTGCCTAACACCTCAACTGCCGAAAGCCACGTTATCGAATTGTGATGGAGATGAAAGATGCAAAACACAAGTTTCTAATTACGCCCGGTAAGGCATTCAAATTTTTGCTTCACTACTACCACTACCAGAGATTAAAGATTAGAAGAAAGAATGGAGAGCAGCCCAGCTGAGGAAGACGAAAAGGAGAAGAAACTAAGAGCATGGAATACTCCACACGTAAATGAGTTTCTGCAGGAAGGTGTCATGTGTATCTACAACCTCTGTAATTGCACCCTAGTCTTTAAAGCTGGCACAAAGGATTTCTGATGCTGTGTAAATTATTCCTATAAACATACAAGTCTGGCTGACGTTATGCCAACTTGTTCCACACTCTTATGGAGCGTATTGGTCGCTCCCCGCCGACGTGATCGTGAAGGATTTCGAAGACAAGCGCCTAAATCAACTGCTTGTGACTGAAGAAACTAGATACATGCCGGACCGCCGTAATGAACGAGTCGTGGTTCAAACAAATGTCCACACAGACAAAAACAGATCTGACTTTCATTTGAACCTAACAAGTCCAAAACCCATGAACTCAGCTTCAGAAGCATACACCATAACACTGTGAAAGGGTTTTGGAATTTATCCTAATTCTCAGGTTGACCTTCACCAGAGGTTCCTTTCGTATGACATCGATTAGGTCATTTGATTTCTAAGCATTTGAACGTACTCATTGTTCACCGAACAACAAGCCATTGAATGGGGAGAACGGAGTCAATAAATGAATGAAAGTCGTATCCAGAACACTTACAAAATTGTAGCTTCTACACAAGTCTCAAGACCCTCCTAGGGTCTTCTTGATAATTGCTTTCTGTTCCTCAGTAAGCTTGGAGGGAAATGTCACTTCGAAGGTTACAAAGAGATCACCTTTCCTGACACTTTCGTGAATGGGCATGCCTTCACCCGAGAATCGCTTCGTCTCGTTGGGTTTAGTTATTCCCTTCGTTCCCAGCTTTACCGAATGCCCATCTAGATGCGTCAACTCCTTCTCGAATCCAACTAGAGCATCCACTAATGATATCGTAACTGACGTCTTCAGATTGTTACCCTCTCGGGTAAACCGTTCATGGGGCTCGGTCTGAATGACAAACTTCAAATCACCGGCATCTCCATCCATGATTGGCTCTCCGTCCTCGTAAAACACAATCTCCTGTCCATCTACCATACCTTTCTCAATGTCCATGGTGATCGAGGCTCCTTCCCTCTCGAATTTCATGTTCGGGCACTCTTCGCAGACCTGTTGGGTGTACTGCTGGAACATACCGGGCCCGATCTGTTTGTGCATCACCTTGTTCTTGCAGTTACATTTCCGCTTACCCGAAGCCGGCCTCAGCACACTCTTCTCGCGCCAAACCCTAAGAGAATTTCCGACGTAAAGGTCCTCCAGTGTCACGTGCAGATCGACATAGACGTCGTTCCCTTTCGGGGTTTTATCCTCCTCATTCTCATCGTCGCCCCCGAAGCCGAATCTCATTCCCGATCCACCAAAAAACTGGGAGAAGATGTCGTTCGCGAAGCCACCGCCTCTCTGTCCGCCACCATTCTGCTTCAGGCCTTCCTCGCCGTACTGGTCGTAGATTCCTCGCTTCTCCTTGTCGGAAAGCACTTCGTACGCGTTGCTAATCTCCGCGAACTTCTTGGTAGCCTCTTCGTTTCCGGGATTCTTGTCGGGGTGGTACTTCAGGGCCAGTTTTCGGTACGCCCGCTTGATTTGATCGTCTGATGCACTTTTCGGAATTTGCAGGACGTCGTAATAGCTCCTAGTCGCGGCACTCACATTGTCTATCGAGATCAACAGCAGAATGGCCAGAAACCCCACCAGTCTCCGCATTTTGCCACGCTTGACGATATTCGATCAAAAACTTAGGACAGCCACGAGACGACCCAAGCGAGTGCAAGGAGAGGATATCAAGCTGTCGGAGGATCTCCTCTTCCTCCCTTCTGGCAAGCTCGGAATTATTGTCACGCACTCCGCCCTCGCAATCAAAACACCTTCCTCCTTTTCCACGACAATTGGGAGACAAACAGAGGCCAGATTTTCCAGCAGGAGCAACAAACCTCTCCTGCCTTCAATCTCCGATCTCAACTCGTGTTCTTACAATCTTTCAACAGAAACCGAATTCCTTCCACAGCAATCGATCCGCGGACGATTGAAATAACGACAAAACGATTTGAAATCAGGCAGTGGCAACAACAACAGCAGCAGTGGCCGTGGAAGCGAAGGAGGCAGGGGACGGAGTCGTGCGTCTTGCTTGCCCTCTGCGGCCGGCTCTCACTCCTTCTCTCGCAGTGAGAGAGCTCGTGCTCTTCTTCCGCTTCTTCTTCGTCGTCGTCCTGCTCTCGTGGCCTTTGTCGGTCGATGGTGGGGGATCGGGGGGTCTAGCAGCCGCAGCCTCCTCTTCTGCTCCTCCCATTGCTGCCAATTACACGCCACTGACGGATTTCCAATTTTCCACCTCCTCTGTTACTGACGGAGACTCTCTCTGTCCCTCTCCCTCTCTCTGTATATGTTATCTCTTTCTGCTACCCACCAAGCTGATCGGCTTGCGGATCCTGAGTGACTTAGCTTGCATCTAATAAAAAACAAACAAAATCATAAAAGTTAATGCGTAATCACTCTTTCGGGAATTTTAATTGAAGTTTATTCAAGGCCCAATAATAGATTTTAAAAAATAGATTAGAGGGGCGTTGAATTTGTTTCTTATTAACTTGACCAATATCTAGACTTGTTCTTCACTTCTAAGCCTTCGATGCCCTTGAGCGGGAAAATAGGACGTTGTATGCACGAAAGTAAGTGCATTACGACTTGGACCCTTCTCAGTTTTCTTCTATGCTCTTGAAGTAGAGAAGAAATACTAATCAAGTCATATTATCAATAACAGTAATCGAGACTTTATAAGAATTCGCTTTAACTTAACAGAACATAACATCTTCATCAGAAGATGAATTATTCAAGATAAATAAATAGTTCTTGAGGATATGTCTATTTCTAATGCTACTCTTTTCATAGAATGGTTCAACCGGATACCCACACCATACTTTGAACCAAATGCGAAGATCGTACAGCTTCACTGCAAGATGAAATTATTGCTTAATCATGTCTCCATATGTGTTAGATTAATAAAACGTGAATCTACAATCTCGTGTTAAAAGCATGTGTTTATCGTCACTATTTGACGAAACATACAACCACTGCGGACATGGACATGGAATTTTAGGATTTCGAGTTGCTCTAGCTTTCAAATCTTAGTTTCAAACCTTTCTCTCAACTCCTGTCCAATGCAAAAGGTTCAAGGTGTCACAGTCCCTCGTTCATTCCGAGAATCAACCAGTAAATCAGATCTTGTAGGAGACACGTTGCCTGGAGACGCTTCAATTATCACGACTTAATGAAAACTTGGTCTCTTTCGGGTGTATCAATTACATACGTTGACATAAAGTGAACGCAATTTCCCTAATAATGAATGTAATTTACTACACGAATGGAAAAAATTATATTGCGCTAAGTTGCAAGTTTTCCATCTAAAGCATCATATATCCAAACACATATTTTCATGGACTTCAAGGTTTGTATTTACAAAATAAGAGATTATTTGTAATGAGTATGCTCACCTGCCAGACTGGATGGTCGTTGGACACATGAAGTGCACACATTGCAGGTTCGGATATAAGAGTAGGGACACACATGACACAACAAGAGATATGGTATATGCACTACATGGTCACTAAGTAAGGGGAGAGATGGTTTGTGTAAGCAAATCAGTGTATGACACAAGAGGATAAGGTTTGTGTGACATATTTTGTTATCATTGATCCGACAGGAGATTTGCCATCCTTGAGAGACCTAGTGTTCACAGCAGCTGGGGCCCTAAGTATGGAGAGGAGAGAGAGAGCGAACTGGTATGCTATGACATGAGGATGGTGTAAATTACCAATGCATGACACTTAACAATAACAGTTTTTGTCCTTGGTCCAACACAAGAGATTCGCCATGGACATTATATTATAACTGGATGAGTTGAGGACATTAGCACAAAGTTCCGCAGAGGAACATGTATTGCCTCTCTTAGTTTCAGAGTCTATCGAGTTAAATTTTCCTATACCTGGTGTGAATGTTAGAGATCACAACTGTCATTTTTTGGTAACCAGTTTAAGAGGGAGTGGGCTAGCCATCTTCCGGATTCGCTGAAATTGGATCTTTCATATTCAACGCTTCCAAGTTTAAAAGTATGAAAACGTTCACCTCTTTGTACGGATTTTCCAATGTTCATGTGAGATGAATGAGAACATTTGAAGCTAGATGGCAAAGGATCCAGCTTTTTTTAACATATTCGTAATCTACTTAGAATGTATGTCTTTCTAGAAAATCACAAGCAAGTATTACACAAAAAAGAACAATCACACATTGCTTTTTTGGCATCGGAATTTTATTCTATCTGGATGGTTACAATATTTTTAAACCACTTACATGTTTCTCATTGTGATATTAATATTGAAAGTTAACATATTTCGTATATATTTGCTTAATTCTTCGTCCAAGACATGACAAGATCCAATAGAAGAAACTTGATATTCTTGAAAAAATTTCAAGTTCTACTCGTCTCCATGTTCATTGTATTGAGATTTTTAAACAGTACATTAGCCTTGACCTTTAGTCTACAATTATTACAATTGTAGAATATAATTTTTTCTTATAATTGATGCTTGTCCGAGATTGTTGTTGTTGTGGATTTTAGGGAAGGACCGTGGTACCGAAATGTTCTGCTTTGTCTTCGGGCGACCATTCATTAGGTTTTTGACCTCGGCTTTGTAATAAATAGGTTTGGTAGAGTAAGAGTACATGCGTCTCAATTTCTCATTTTCTTCCATCCAAACTGGCTCTCCAACATAAACAGGTAAAAATGTTCCCTCTCCCTGGCCCCTAAGTGTTGACTTGATTAATGCATGAAAGACTAAGGGCGAAGGACAAGACGAGGAGACAAATAATATTTGTTCGAACAATATTAACAGATACATCGTCGCTGTATAACAGAAATACGAGTCGACAGTTTGCGAGCGCGTGACGTGGACGGACGGAGACTCTGCCGTTGAAGTCAGAAGAACAAAACCCGGCCCGTGGTCCCGGTCAAACTTCCGAACCTGAGTCGCCGCTTGGCTCGTGTTCCGCGTAAGAGGGTTCGCTTTCTTCTACAGGAGCCGGGTCTTCCTCGGATCTTGGACATGTGTACATTGTTCTTAACACGGGTAAAGTAAAAACGCTAACATTCGGAGTAAATAACGGCCTACAGTTAAGGACCTCGAGATGCATCATCTTTTCCACCAATCACAAGGTGTCCTTGCATTCTAACTGTTTGGCCATTGGCTCCAGGCGCGAGAATGACAACGCAATTTCCTCCAAATAGTTGTGTAATTTTTTCATTTTTCTCTCAAACGACTTTTCACCACTCAATAAAGGTCAAAACGAGACACCATTTGTTTCTGTTGTCTTTTCTTTGCCCACTGTGGTGATGATTCCTGGTCATTTGGCCCGCGTCAAAGCCACAGTTTACAGTTTGCTGAGAATTCGAACAATTTGTCAGCCCGAATTGTTTCGAGCTAGCATATCAGAAATTACTTGTCGCATTCTGGAGGCATCAATTTTCTGGAGATTCTTGCAGGGGGTTCACTTAAGAACTTGATGTGAACTTCCTGCATAACTACTTTTCATTCGTGGAAGCTTTAAAAAATTAAAATCAGAAGAAATTATCCACAAACTTGATTTGATTTTGAAACTTTCTCGTATGATTCAAATACTTTTCTAAAAGGAAACTTACTTGCTGTTTTTTACTAGACTGAAATTTCATGAACATAGATATTTAGAATTTGAACATATTTATACAGATATTAAAATTTAAGCATCATGATCAATTCATGTGACAAAGTTGAGGGAATAGATAGTAAAAAAAATATCCACAATGAGATGGACGCCACATCTCACGATTACAATGCTCATTCAAAATGCAGCATGATGTTTTCCTATTTTTGGGTTTCATGTCTATAGTAAATATATAAGTCACTTCTTAGTCCAATAATTTTATTTTACATAAGTTTATGTTCTTTTGGTTCATTTTTGCAGGAATTGGAAGATTCTTTAGATTTGTGAAGTATGGCATAAAGAAATAATGGATTCACATAACATAAAATACTACAAATGAAATTACATCGTTCTAATAATTTTTCGGTATTATTATTGTATTGAAATCAAGTTATTTTATTGAAAAAGTCAACGAATATATCTGAGTATTATAAACAATTTTATAGGATGAAACTATAAATATATAATTATGTATCCAATAACGTTTATAAATATTTGAAATTATATTTTGGATGCATGCTCCTTAACCTTTTTCATATTATCATGTATTTCCTAGATGAATTTTTTTAACAGACCATATACATACAAATTTGTTTCGAATTGAAATATGGAGAGGATTTTAAGTTAAATCGCTCACTACGATCTTAAAATATGTCAGTTTGTTATTTTCTAATTAAATAAATATATTTAAATCTAAAAATTATATTTGGATATTTATGTACAATTATACAGATCATTTCACTTTGATAATTTTCACATCTTGAATTGTTATTTTATTTCCTAAAATATTAAAACTTATTATAAATCCGATTAATATTTATCATACTTTTACAGCAAACTTTACTTACATAGTTTTCTTTTTGTTAAATTGTAAAATTTTGAACAATTTAATTGATAAAACATACATTTCTTTATCTGAGAAATACTTAATATTTCAAATCCTAGATTTAAAATTGTTCAATATAAAATGGCATGACATATATTCAACACATCGCAAAAAGATATCTCATCACATGTGTAATGACTCAGTTTTGATTATGTGATTGTCAGTTGTAATTTGTATAAAAGAACGTGGTATTCAAAGGTGAGTTGAGTTTGACATTTTAGCTATTTTCCAACATGTCTATATAAATTATATCTTCTTTATCATGAGATTATTACCTATGGAATAAACATTATTTGAACATGGTTCTAAAACACATCTATCCCTTTTTTAGGATACCGCAGCACCAGACTACTATTCACATTTCACGGTTCATTTCACCCTCATTTCAGATTACATCACGGTTCATTGTATTTGAACGTAGTGCAGCAAGGTTTTACTTCTTGATCGCCTTCATGGCTCTGACAGCATCTGAGAATATCCTCCATCATACAACCCCGCGACAAGCGCATCAATTATCAGATAACATTCATGTCCTTCACTAATACAGAGATAAGTAGTATCGAAGAAAATTTCCGTGGATTCACCCACTCTCAATACATAAAAACATGCTCCATAATGTTTGTATGTCAGTTCATGAAAACTGAAATTGTACTACGAGTACATGAGCCTGAGTTCACAAGATGCAGAGACATACCTTCCCGCCCTCTCTGAGCACCCCAGAGTTGTTAATGTTGGAAACACTCGCGGAACACAAATATTTCCAGAAACCTTTAAATTAAGGTTGACAAGCTAGGAGGGGCCGGCTAATCGACAGACCCAAGTTCTGGGACTTCAAACCCTAATGATATATCAAGAAGCATTCTGTCTTTCTAGTGGTAAACGACCTGGTTGGTCAAATCAATGAGCTCAAGCATCTTATAGGATACAAATGCAAATGAAAAAATTCTGCGAGACGAGTGTACTTTCAGACAAAGGTATGCTTCCATTAGAGGGATCTTCATCCGAGGCAAACAGATACAACATGTGCACAAGTTTGGACAAGCCTTCTTCTTAAGAAAGAGCCATCCAAAGTCGAGCGCTACAGCGTTAATGGCGCTCAGATTCGCAAGTGACTACGTATCAGGACACCAGTTGTCTGTGATATACTGATATAAGTAACTTCCTTACAAAAATTTAACAATCTCTTCATGGTACAAAATGACCGACATGATCGATTAGGCGAAATCGACACGATCATAGATTACTTCAACTCCTTTGGCTTCCTAGACAATGATTTCTCAACAAGACTCAAGGAGATTCCTAGGACTAGCATACAAGAATGACAAGAACGAGAGGGCAAAAATAGAGAGCCCAAAAAGCAACCATATCGTTGGATACGTGGAAAATGGCACACCCGTTCACATCAACCGCTAGGACTCGTGTAAGAACATGGAAATTTACAATCAATTAGGCCCCAAGGTCTATTGGGGCCTCCCAGGGAGAACATAGTACAGCGCAGAATTTCCTTACTAGTCCAACGTAATGACCCGTATCAAAACAACCCACAAGGTGAACACATCCATCCTGGGTCCAGTTGTACTTAGAACCTTTCAGTCGGCTTGTCGTTAGAGACCGCAGTTTTGCACTGCATGCACAGCGTCTTCTTCTGTCCGTTGCTGGCAAGCCTGTGGTGAGTAAGTAAATGACGACCTTCGACTACACATCCAGAGGATCTCCAAATCAGGTCGTCGTTAAGTACTCCAGTTAGAAAATTTCAACGGATCCGTAATTTAGTACCCGTCACATCATAGATGTCTATCAGAACCAGCCCGTGGCCCTGAGCCCTGGTGCCGTTGCTCTCTGAAGTGGCGGAGTAAAGCAGATGCCTGCAGATTACACGGAGAATCGTTAGATCTTGCTAAAAGACCATCACCGTGTGATATCTACCAGTCAATACTGTATGTAGGGTTAAATTTCTCATCTACGGTCTTTTATCATCTACTCTCCGACACACGTCAATGACAGGCATTTTCTGTAAGATGCAAAATTTTAGAAGACATTCTCGTACAACCAAAATGTTTTATGAGGAGGTTTGTGCAACTCTCAAAACTGAAGGTACCTTCTCTTTGGCACGTGCTGTTCCAGACTGGGAGAGGGCAACGAGAGGAGGAATGGCTCCTTCTTGCAAAACAAGAGCTCGATGTTTGTTGCTATTCATACACAGCTGCAACAAAGCTGCTGCAGCATTTTCTTTTCCTCTTTGGGAACCAGCCTCGACAACCTCAACCAAAGCGGGAATGCCACCTTCGTCTCCGATTGCAACTCTGCCTTCAGATATGGTCGCAAGGTTGGCCAGGACTGCCACGGCTTTGTCCACCATTCCAGCTGCAGGGTCTGCCATAAGCTCCACGAGAGGTTTGATAGCTCCAGCGTGGACAATACGAGCTTTGTTTTCACGAAAAATGGACAGGTTAAACAGCGCAGTTGCTGCATCTTTCTTCCCTCGGGGTGTCCCGTTTATGAGCAGATGTACTAATGGCGGAATAGCACCCGAGGCGCCAATCGTCACTTTGTTATCGTCCATCACCGACAAGCTAAAAAGAGTAGCCGCCGCATTTTCCATGGCCTGTGCATTGCCCACCTTGAGCACATTCACCAAAGGGTCGATAGCTCCAGCAGAAGCGATTTCAGATTTGTTGTTGTCATTGATTGACAAGTTGAGCAGAGCAGTCACAGCATTCTCCTGCGTCTTTGCATCTGACGACTTCAACAACGTAACTAAAGGTTTAATGGCACCTGCGTTTGCTATAATAATTCGGTTCTCCATGTTGAATTTTGCGAGAAGTCTCAATTCAGCGGCAGCATGCCTATGTACGTCTACATCCTCTGAATGCAGATCCAGTACTAGGCCATCGACCACCAGATGAGCATTGGCATCCGATCCTAGGGTATCTTGTAAAGGAGTGGGCACAATTCTAGGCATACCCTGATCTCGTTCATCGCCGCGTCTTCTCCATGGTGCACCACCCATCCGAGCAGAGTCTGGAGGGCGTGAAGGAGAGCCGCTGTCTTCCGCTGGTGTCGGAGCCACAGGCCTGTCCAACTCGCCTGAGACATCACTCGGATATGGAGACGACTCAGGAACTGCTTGACAATTGTCCTCTTTGGCAGCATTCTCTTGAGTGACGGTCGATCCCTGTCCATCTTCAACACTAGAGGCAACACTTGAACCTGAACCGGAACGGTGGTGATGCAGTGGGGAGGATGATTCATTGCCGGAATCGGCATCATACTTATCTTTCAACAAGGAAATGCGACGTTGAGTAATTTCTCCATCAGAGTTGGTGGAAGTGTTTCGAGTAGCAGCTTGAGACGCTTCTCCATGGTCCTCCCCAGACCCGCCGTTCTGGAACCCGTTGCTCCGCTCCCCATCACGTTCATCGGCTAATCTGGGAGGGTGGAACGTGCGTTTCGACTTCACAGGTGGACGACTGCCGATTCCAGACATTCCTCGCTCTGGGACCTGTTGCAGAATAACGGGCTGCTGCAGAATGGGCCTGGGAGGCGATTCTGTGTTTCTGTGCTCCTCAGGTTCATGCTTGGGACTTATCAGAGGCACAAGAGGCCTTAGGAATGTATTCAGCATATCGATCTTTGCAGGCTCTGGAAGAGGCACATTATTCGCCTCGCACCAGTTGGCGATTAGAGCCTTTACAGTGTAATTTGGAATAAGATTAGTATGGGAGAGAGTTTGACGGGTCTTAGGACAGGTCGTGTTTCCTTGGTCTAGCCATTGTTGTATATACAAGCGTTCATAGGTTTGCCCTGAAGCAACTATGACCGGATCGGACATCAGTTCCAAAGAGAGTGGACACCGAAAATCAGGAGGAATCTGCAGGCCCCCAGCCTTGTGTTCGCCGATTTCTTCTACCATTAGTTCTAGCAAGGACTTCATTTGGTTGATGTATTCCTCCTCCAGCTTGTCTCCTTCTACTTTGGCCTCTTCTTTCTCCAGCTCCAACGCGCAAATTTCTTTCACCATGAACTCCTTTGATCCAATCTCCAACCAATCAGCGAGCTTGCACAGCATCTCGAAGCTCGCTTTTTTCCCTTCCCTTTGATCCCTCAGAAGGGTTTCTATCTGCTGCGAAATTCGCTCATCAGATGCATCCACCAGATATCTTGTTCGCCTCAGCTCGTGCGTCAGACGTTCGACCTGATTCAACCAAGAAGCGCCCATTCAAAGTCTTGTATACGTTCAGGTTTATGACAGTTCAAACAAAAGGGCGACCGCTGCGAGTTGCATAAACTGTCTCATCTCTTTCTCGTGTCAACTAAATCATTCCTATGGGAAGAAAAGCAGCGTTTCCAGGTTTCATGTAGACCACAAACGCCTTGGGCACATACCTGGGCGCGAATCTGATCAGAAATCCTCAGAGTCATAAGTGGCATTGATGTCAGAGATCGATCGATCTCTGCCGTGACATCTTGAAACTTGTTGACGAAAACTTGACATCGCAGCACCTGTAGACAGCTCGGGAGAGGTTAGCGTCTATACAAAAATTCCAGGCTTTCTGTCTACATGTCGAACCCAGCTACAAGCAACTACAGCTACCCGCATTCCCTCTCCGGTAAGACGTGATGACATAAGTCGGTCAAAGCAACAAAAGGAAGAGCCGGTGCTTGAGAAGTCTTCCTCAAGATTCCTCCATTCCTTCAGTTACCCTACCACAGTTTAGACTTTAGAAACTCAACAACAAGCTTCAGCTCTACCCACCTCCATTACATTTCAATGCTCAAATGAAGATCAACTGACGTTCTGTGAACTGCCATCTAGGTCTCACCATGTAAAGTTTGCTACTCTTTCCTCCACATTTCTCAAATAACGCTTTTGCCTTCAAAATAGCACCCTCCAAAGCTTCCAGTGAAACAATGGCGGGATTGTTCAGGGGAATCTTCGTGTCACGAACTTCATCGAGCAGTGGTTTCAGGAGCTTGATTCTGGAGGCCAGATTTTGGCAATTGATCTTTTGACTCTTTGCCTTATCTCCCAACATAACGACCATTTGTATCAGCTGTGCTATATTGGCCAGCATTGTAACAGGATCCATAGCTGAGCTTAACAGATTATCGCTCCACCTTTCCCGATGTTCACCTGCAGTTTATATTACCCGTCAGATATGCTGCAGAAAAGTTGGCACTGATACTCTGCACACGGGCTGAAAGTGATTTGATCAAATCACAATCTGGATCAGGTAGAAAATGAAGCTGGATCAATTGACTCAGCAAACCCTGCATACAAGAAGATACCGTTTACTAATCAAGTTCCCAAAGCTACAGGTGGCCAACTGTCACGTCCGACTCGAGACTCAACAAACTCGAGATGTTTGCATAGTAGCGTTCGTAAGCGAGATGAGACAGCAATCTCTGCTCCCAAGATCTCGAAAAGCCTACCTTCAGCTCTTCCCGATCCGCTGAGTAGGCAGGAAAATGTGAAGGGTCGTAGCAGGACACAAAAATCGATGTTCGACAACTACAGCCTCTATTTGGCAGTGTGTGAAATTGCTAGAATACTGGTAACACCTCCTGAACTCCCAGCCGAGCTGTCAGCATCTGGGACTTGAAGACCTTCTTTACTCAACCCGCAGTAGGCAGAGAAAAGTCCTCACCATAATCATAAGAAGGTACGAGAACGCGAGGTCAAAGATCCATCCAGACTGGTCAAAATCACACTGAATGTGATCACACAATCTCACCTTAAAGTTCGAGATTGCGACTTCTGCACCTCAGGAATACTTCATCCAAACCCCTGAAAATATCCCTGAACCGCATCACTATGGTCATTCAATCCACCAACTCACTAAACAGGCGGTTCCCATCTGCCCCCAATCCTGTCCTTCGCAACTAGCCAAGCTATACCTGCAGCGCTCAAGATAAAACTTCAGCACCTGTTGCCAAACTAGCCACACTACTCCATTTGGTCCAGCTGAAAGGGAATCCAATCCTCCGAGGATCCAGATTTAAGGCGACCCCTCTGCAGCGACTGGCGTCCAATTAGGACATTGTTCGGGTAAATCTACATCTATGTCATGCTCCAGGCGCCCCGAAGGAAGCACAGGTATGTCAGAGGAGCTGAAAACGTCGACGCATGAGCGCATTTGCAGGAGAGTCGATGATAAGCATCTCCTCCATTCTTCACCATCTTCATAGCATGATTCCACTGAATTCTGTCCGCGCATAAAGTTGTTAGTTGGTGTCTTCGTGCGTTCCGAATCCTTCAGCCCCCAAGTAATTCAATCCAGATGGGCTATATATCGTCAGAGCTCCTCCTCCGACAGCTGGCTCTTCAACGGAAAAAGTCCTGAAAGCAACCCGCGAGTCAGTCGTCGATCAAACACAGACACAGCCCTAGATGCGCACGGACTATGCCCACCCAGCGCTATCCGCAGAACATAAATGCTCCTCAATCAGCCCCTCCCGGTGATACTGACACTCGATCGACCGAGCGCGAAAACACCCGACGCGACTTCCCATCCCAGCAAGCAACCTCTGCTACCACTCACTCATCCGGATCAATCAACAACTAAGTCCGAGGTCCCATACACTTCGACCCGCCCGGGACTCACCTCTTCCACCGAGCCACTCCTCCGGTCTGGTTCCTCCTGCTCCTGCTCGACTCGTCTCACCCACCCCTCCCCTCCCCTCCCTTCCCTTCCGAGATCAAGCGATCAAATCAGCCAGCTGCTGCTGCTGCTGCTGCACCGTCCTCCGAAGACTCTACTGCTGCTGCTGCTGCAGCTGGATCATGAGTTCCGCAGCCTACACAAGCGTCGCTGCGGCTTCTCCCTCTTCCGTCCTCGATCTCTCGCTGTCTCTGAAGTCGACCCTGGTCCTCGTCTCGGCTCGTCTCGGCTCTTGGCGTGCCGTGCGTTGCCTCGGGGTTTTGCTTTGACTGACCAACAACCGCGCGACCGCCAGGCAGCCAGCCAGTCGATCGCAGTGAGACCAGACCAGAGCACAAGAGCGCTTGCCTCGTCCTCCTCCTCCTCCTCCTCCTCGTCCCTCGCTCGCTCGCGCACTCGCTTCTCTCGCGGCCTTTCTTCTAATACGCACTCATCAGCATGTTCACATCATCAATGAAGGTCGCTGTAACTGTTCCCGAGACGCGAGCCAGACCCCAACCCAAACCAAAACCCCCTTTTTCCACCACATCGTCTCCTCCTCCCCCTTCATTCAATCTCTCTGTGTCTCTCTTTCTCTCGCGAGTCCCGTTGCCTGTCACCGGGTCATGAAACAATCCTGGCCCTGCCCGGCTCCCTCCCTTTCCGTCGGCTTCTGTCCGTCGGACCTGGTCTGGTCCCATGCTCCGCTGCAGGAACGTACATGGTCAGTCACATCCGCGCCAGCGCTCCGAAACGCTGTTCCTGATGCGCAAGCACCGTACACGTTTCTTCTCCGTCTGCCAGCCCGGGCCGCGCGGAAAGAGATCCGGATGGATGGAGGCTCGGTATCGTCCATCCATCTATCCATCCATCCATCAATCTGACGACCGGGGCCGTCTCCCCCTTCTTCGCCTTTTTGATCTCCTGTACTTCACCGTTGCCAGTTTGCACCCCAAAATAATCGACTCCGCGACACTTCTCAACATCACCGCTAAGTTTTCTACATCGCCCGCGACCTGCTCCAACAGGTTACCTGTCTCCCATCGTCTCAGGCACCTCGGTTATCGATGTCCCGAGTTACCGTTCCAAGTAGTCACTCTACCGCCTGCCTGCGACGAAATAATTATAGCCCATCGCTCTCGTCCGATCCGAGCTGGACTCGACGATCCCGACCCAGGCCGACCGTTCGAGCGCTAGGCTCTCCCCGCGCTCCCGCGATCTATTCATTCGCTCTACTGTACTCCAACCCTACGAGCACCACTCTACTCTACTCTACTCTACTCGAGGCTGAGCTGACCTGAGAGTCACCTCGGATCGGGTCCTGTTGGGGTTGCCGATCCGGAGCGATTTTGCTGCCCGGATGAGACGGGCATTGCTCGCCTTCATCGCACGCGGACTCGACTGCCGCCATATCTCCCATCTGGAGAGGAACCGCGCCTCCGGTGGGCGAGTAGGCCCGGCCCGGCCCTCGCGAGCACCTCCCTCCCGGTTGTCCGTACCGGTGCCATGCCCGGGCGCCCGGTTCCCATGAACTTCGTGCGCTGTGGTGGGATTCTCTCCGCTTTCGTCGGAGGGGACCGGGTGGCTGGATCCGTAGAACCGGATGATGCACATCTCACCGGCAGCAGCGGATAGTCCGGCAGATGCGGACAGCGAGGGGCTTCCGTCTACTGGCGCGTTCACCGCCTTGTCCTGACCGGTGGAGACTGGCTGATCAGGGGGTGGGGCGGGGGCCGACTGGCAGTTGCAAGTGAGCGCAAATCTTTTCTTCCGCGTGCGCTGTAGTGATGCGGAGGGGGGGCCAGTGTGGCAGTTAATCCCTGGGGGCCAGAGCAGTAAAACCGACACTTTCTGTCCTGGACTTCAAACCCGAACGTTCATCTTGTGAACGAGGGGGCCTAAAGGGCGCAAGGGACTGGAGGGACGTACTGATGAAGCTTCCGTACTTCTGTGACGGTAACTTGACCTCGTTCGCAAGAGTGGGATCGAATAAGAGATTTTCTTTCCCCCCTTTAATTTTATCGCCTTTCTTTCGAGCAGATATTTCGGTATTTTACTCCCCACTTCACGGTTTTACCTCCAGTGGCCAGATCCGAAGGAAAAGTAACACTTTCCTAATTTACTCCTCCTCACAAAAAGGCAAATGCCTCTTTGCTCCAGCATTCTTATGCTGGAGCAAAGAATTTCAATGTCTGGGACCCCAGTCCAATGTGAGGTTACATTAAATGGTTCTAGTAATTCTGCTACTAGTGGCGCAAATGAAGAGTTTCATTATGCAGAACCGCTTGGCATCAAGGGAGAACCTGCCCCTCACATTGCCGGTTGAAGTTGCTGATCGAGTCAAGTCTTCCCTACACGGGAAATCACCAACATGGCAAAGGAGTTCTTACTCGGCCCGTGCGCACTGTATCATGAGGGGAGCGTATGGGCTGGCAGAATAAGACTTCCCCAATGATGACGAAAATGTTCTCATCATGTGGGCAATGGCCATTTTGACGCAGTCCTTTTACTGGTATTTTATAGTATGTTCATAAGCGCATACTCGTGAGGGAAAGATTCATCACAGACAAGGCCCAATGGCCTCGTCCTTCCACTGTCACGAAAAGAAAAACGACGGGCACAATACAAGAAAAGAAAGGGGACAATGTTGACAAGGAAACACCATCGAACCTTCGAAGGAGAACTTCCAAGAGTGCCAAACCAGCCCAACCCCAACCCCTTTGAGCCAAAGACAACACTGGGGATTGCTAATCTTTCCCGTAATGTAAAGATAACTCTCCCACCTCTGATTCCTACACAAGTATCCAAAAAAATTAATGATGATGAACCCCAGGCCCCAGCAGCAGTGGGGGCACCTGAAGAAACAACCCCATAGGAGTTATCATCTTCCATACCTGTATGATTTCAACCTCTACTTACTTACGTAGGTAAACAAGTAGTGCAAATTGACAAAACTCTATCTGATCCATGTCTTTAGCTGATAAACTCTTGCACAGTCTCGGTACAAAAGGGGAGGTAAGTAGAGAGAGAGAGAGAGAGTAGGGGAGAGAAGCTGTCCAATGCAGATGATGTTTTTGACGTTTGAGTTTGGTGCTTGGTCATCTGCTGTAGTCGGTCTCACGTCAATGAGTGAAGAGATTATGGCGGTACGGCAGGAGAAGACTGCAACATCCTCCGATCTTCAGTATCAGAATATGATTGTCAGCTTCTAATAGTAGATAGAGAATCGATCCCTTCGGAAGTTCGTAGTACAGTAAGTGGAATTGCTCCCACTTGTGTAAATGAAGTAATGCCAGCCTCCAGCCACAACCTACAGTGGACTTGTTTAGCACCGACCTGCTTGATAAGCTCCTCAATAAATATTCCCCACAGCAGCATTGTCCCTCGCCATGCACGCATATCTCTCTGTGGAAGGCAAACTTCTGCTTCCCATGAAATCTTCGTCCCACCAACATCCGTTTACTGGACAGAACCAACTCGCCAAGTATATTATCATACTGCTGCTTCTCATGCAGTTCGCGTCCATCGACATCGGTTTTGACTTCTAGCTCCTGATCATAACTGAAATCATAGTTCTCTTGAGAAGTTGAGATAAGGTGTGGGAGTGTCAACCTCACTGGGGTTCGAACCTCGCATCGGGGTGAAACTTCGTGTCTCTTATAATAAACACAAACTCGCTTCTGTAACATTTGAGTACGGTTCAGAAAGACCTGCAATTAGTCAGTTAAAATAATTGACCTGTTCCAAACTTTCGGTGCAAAATACCTTCTTAATAGACCGTTGAATCTGTGGTTTGACACGGACGAAACTCTACGAAACTTTACTGCGTACGTACTAGTGCAAAATTGTACTGTACCGTAGCTTGTGCTAGCGGCGCTGCTACAGACGACGAAGACTGTCACTGTTACTCTTTGCCTCGCGCAGTCATAATCTGGATGGTGATCAGATTCCTTGCACTGCCAAAATGTCGATATCCTGGTCAGAAACGCGCATCGATGGCTGGCTTGCTCGAGCCCCCCATCTATACATCTATCCCTAGTTACAGCACAGTGTAATTTTTGGCTTAGATCACGATGCATCCATTTATCTACATACGGCTCTAGGCTCTAGTGAACTATAAAAGTCCTACCATATCATGTGACATATCTAATAGTATGTTTTAGTAGATGTGTATCCATTGCATCGATCCATTGTGGTGTAATGCGTCCATTACACTACACTGCAAAAGGTGAAGCTATCCACATGAAAGTAATTATGTTAAGTGGTAATTCTCCGTTTGCTCGTGCACCACTTAGACACTTTGTCTAGAGAGTTGGGTGAGTTTAATTCCAATGTTGCATATCTCTACTATGAAGCTTTTCACTTCTAGGTTCATCTCACTCCTTTACATAAGTTGATTATTTAGGCTAAACCAAATATCGTAGTGTTAATGTAAATTAACACTATGATAAATTGAATTCAACCATACACACATTTCTACCAATTATCAAATTGCATCCATTGTCCTATGTAACCAATATAGCACAAAAGTCCATTTTATACTCAATAATATCACAATCAGAATCACTTGACACATCGTTGCTTTCATACATTAAGATGCAGCATTTACATACATTCTAATGCAAAAGATAATTTATAGGAGGAAATTTTGAAATTGTCTTATTTTGAAAATTTTTAATCTTGTTAGATAAGTTATTTAAATTTTTTTCCCAATTTTCATGATTATAAACTTATAAATGTGATTAATATGCAGCTTCATTTATGTCAAAACACCATAAAATTCTTGATTTTAAGTAGTTAATCAAATTTTTTAATTTTTATTATTTTTTCTAAAAATTAATAAACAACTTAATTATTTTTGAATCAAACACTAATCTTTTAATTTAAAGATTTTCAAAAATTTATCCAAAAAGCATTGAGTATATTAGTTTTGGTACTCTCTTTATTATTTATTTTCTTGTAATTCATCCATTGAATCAATATATTATATTGAATAATTTCATTCATTTCATTATTTTTGTTGTATCAAAGCTCCAACGTCATACTTCTCCATCTTCACCGGCCACGTGCAACCCTATCCGCCACCGTGTGACCCGCTTGCCAGTTGCCATGTCGGAATTTTGGGTCGCGTTAGAATTTTTTATCGTTCGAGTACAATCTGCAAGAGTATCTTGAATTGGGGGTTGCGTTCAAGTAATCAAGGTCTATCTGTGAGAGGATTTAGGAGTGCATCTCCATCAATTGATATACATCAAATTTTTTAAATTTTGATGTTTATTTAAATACATTACACATTTTTATAATTTTAAGTATAAACTATATGTGAATGTAGTTGTACAAGCAAAATTTTTCTCCTAAATTTTGATAAAAATAACATTTACATAAGATCATCCATAAGCTCATGAATTTGAGTACAATTAACCTTTAAATGTAAAATTTTCTACTAGTTTTATGTTTTTTGGTTTTATTTTTTTACTATATTCTAAATTTATTTTTTAATTTTGCAACAATATATGATATAATTTTGAATTTAATTATCTATGAAATTTTGAATTTAATTATCTATGAAAATTTGAATTTAATTATTGATATA